AGATTGCATAATAATTAAGACGGTAAATTTTCTTATATGTGTTTAACCACAATAAAAAATAAGTAAGTAAAAGTAAATTCTCTCTGTCTCATAAATGTCATCATGTGCTATCTGACAAAGCCACTGAGAAGTTACATTGTATATAATGTGTTCTCTCTATACTCAATGTGCTAAACCATTGTGAATCGTACATCATATTTAACCCTGCTTTTTTAAAAAGCATGTAGCCACGGCATGACCCCATGTACTAGTATGTAACAGTCTTGAAATGAGAAAAGTTCAGAGCAGGGGTGCAGGGTTCGGGGTAGGGAGAGTCTAGGTGTGTATCCTGCCTGTATGTGGTTCCACAGATGTACATGGGATGATGAAGTTTCACCATCCACCCCCATCCCCTCCCCGAGAAATACAGTAGCTCATGTGAAAACTGGTGGGATCCACGCTGTCCAAGTGGCAACTTCCTGTTTCGATCACTGTACTAGGCTTATGTCAATGTTGCCTTCGGGGCTGGGGGACAGGTACACAGGAGCCCTACTCTTTTTTCGACTTGAATGTGGCTGTCCAATTATTTCAAAATGAAAAGACTTTTAAAAATGTTCCAATATTTGAAGAATGTGTGATAGTTGTAGCTCTCTGGGGACAGGACCCACTTTATAAGGTGCAGCTGCAGCTCCATCTCTGTACGCAGGACTTTCGTGCCATCCCAGGTGCCCCCGGGGTGACACACGCTGTCTGCACGGTGCCCAGTTTACCACGCGCTCGCATCTGTTCCACAGGTTCTCCTGCCCTGTGGGCCTCAACCTCTCAGTCCCCCATCACCTGGGAGAGCTCAGGGCCTCCGGCAGTAACTGCCGAGTGCAGGGCACGATGCCCGCCTCATCTCATCCCACCTCACCCTCGCTGCCTGCGCTTTACAGATGAGGAAACTGAGGCTTGGAAAGGCAACGAACTTGCCAAGGTCCCAAGGCCAGGTCTAGTGACGCCCCCAGCCAGGCTCCCGCACCCCCGACCAGCCACCAGGGCTGCCACCTGCAGACTGGTCTCTGGCAGCAGGTGGGAGGCAAGCCAACGGGGACAGGGCACTAATTCAAGCTGTGGGCAGAGCAGCTGCTCGAGTCCCTGCGCCCGGGGCCACGCTGCTCTTATGTTCCTGGTAGATAAAGTGCTCCACTTAGAGCTCTCTCCGGCGGCGGGGCCATTAGCTCGCTGACTCCTGGAGAAACCATTTGGCCAGCGCTGACAGATGTGGCCATTACACAATCACTTAGCCCCTCCAGCTGCCCCATCCCGACCTTGGGAGGGGGAGGGCCTCGAGGCCTGCAAAGCCCTGGGGAGGGTCCACAGACTCACTTCCCGGCCACGCCTCCCCTCTGCCCTGAGGCTGATTCTGCGGCCCAGCTGCCGCAGCAGGAGGCAGCGTCTCAGACAGCAGGATCTCAGGGCTGCCAATGACCTTGCTCTCCTGAGAGTTGTTCACAAACTGCCTTCACATGCATCATCTCCCTTGATCCTCCCAGCATCCCTGTGAAGGCAAAATTAGGATTAGTACTTCCATTCTACAGATCAAGAAATGAGGCCCAGAGAGGCTACGTAGTTGGCCCAAGATCCCACAGCTAACAGTGTCAGACAAGGGGCTGACCTCAGGCCTGATTCCCAGACTGTGGGGCGCTGCAGTGGTCCTGGTGAGAGGTTAGCACGCGTGGGAAACTCGAACAGCCTCAGAGCAGGGGCTCCGTGGCCAGGGCAGGCCAAGGGCTGCACGTCTCTGCTGAGCGAAGGCATGAGGCTGACGAGGCTGCAGCCTTGCCCCCAGGGGCACCTGCCCCATTGGCAGAGCGAGGCGGCCCTTGACCTGGCAGGCCCCTGCTCAAGTCACTGTATCCGACACCTCCCTTACTCTCTGGACCTTTTGCTCAACTAGAGGTGTGCCCTCCCAGCCGAGGGCCCCAGGCAGGCTTCACAGCATCTGACAGCTGGCAAACCTGTCCGCACCAGCATCTCAGGGTGGAGGTGGCTGTGACATCTGGGCACCTGGCTGCTCCGGGCCAGGGCTCTGCAGCCCCAGCCCAGCTCTGTCTGACAATGTGCCCAGTCCCTGCCCTGGCCCTGGAGCCAGGACACACCCAGCAGAGTTGGGGGAACCAGGGGCAGTGGGAGGGGGCAGTGCCCAAGGCCCATCCCCTGCACACAGCCGGGCTTGGGAAAGAAGCAGATGAGCCGAGCCGACAGGGGCCACCCTCCTGGCTCAGAGGCCTGAGAGCAGATGGCAGGCAGCAGCAACAGAGAAGGACCAGCCTCCTCAGGCCCGCCCAACAGAATGCAAAGAGAAGACCGTGGAGGTGCCAGGCTCAGAAAGAAGTCGCTTAAAAGCCCACATCCAGGCAGGGGGCAATCGCATCTATAAAATGCCCTTCCTGGTGGGTTACGGGGTGGGTCCTGGTTTATACAGACTCATCGCCCTGCCCCTGCCACAGCACTGGCTGAGGGAGCATTGGGCCTGGCTTGGCCAGGAGCACGAGCTGGAAGAAAGGAGGCTGAGGCTGCTCCAGGACATGAAGCTACAGACCCTGCGGCCTGCCAGCCCAGCACTACCCCCCCATCCATCCCCCCCGCTTGGGGCAGTCTATGGTGCTAGAGCCCTAGAGTGTTGTTGTCCCTGGGGGGTGGTCTAGACATGGGCGGGCCACTGAGGACAGCTCAGGGGACACCCAGGGTCCGTGAGCTTCGTGGGTGCGGGGGGAGCACACCCCATGGGTTTGAACACAGCAAGGTGCTGACCAAGTGCTGGAGAGAAACCGCCACATGCTGGACTCTCTCTGTCCAGGGCGGAGCCCAGAAATGGAGCTGAGTTAATGTTTCTAAAGGCGAGTCCCGCTGTCCCTTCCAGCCCGTCTCTAAGGAACATAACGGTCAGCCTCGGATTCAGTGCCTCAGCACGAGCTGGTTTCCCCACATCGGCACCCGTTCTGCCTGAGTGCAGCCTCCCGGGAGTGGGCACACTCCGAGTGTCTGCCCAGTCACACGCCCACGTCTGAGAACGGTGGCCCTCCCCAGGACAGGGCCGGGGCAGCCACGCCGGATAGGGCTGGAGGTGGATGTCCTTGGTACCCGTGCGGCACAGTGGAACAAGAGCGACTGGCATTTCTACTGCACTTCCTCTGGGCCAGGCAGCAGCCAGCAGTTGATTCATGGAATCTCCAAAGATATCTGTGCGGCTGGTACCATTACTGCCCCATTTTCTAGGAGGGAGAACCGAAGCCCCGGGAGGGTTAGTGGCTCACCCAGAGGCCCGCGGCCAGTGAAAGCTTGGATTTCGATCGGGCTGAACATGCTCTTAACCACTTCTGAGCTCATAGAAGTGTCACTTTTCTTGGTGAAGCCAGAAAATTGAGAGAGAGTTTGTGCGTGTGGAGTGGTTGCTCCTTCTTGGAGCCCCTCTTGCTGGAAAAGCCGCTTGAGGGGCCCTGGGGATCTGGGCACCAGCAGTGCTGGGAGCCCCTGCTGGGCCTGCCCGTGGACAGGCTGACATGCATGTAGAGGCCAGGGCCCAGGCCCAGCGGCAGAGTAAATGGGTCAGGTTGACCTCTGCCTCTGCCAGCCTGGATCCAGAGAGGGAGGTGCTGGGGTAGCATGCCCTCCCCTCCCACAGGCCCACCCAGGACACAGCCCACAGGACAAGCTGGTCCTTGTTATGCCCCCACTCCCCTCTTGGGCCTTGAAGACTGAGCCCAGTTCATCTCAGTAACTCATTTACGTAGCACTCCCTGTGTGACCTGTCATGAGCCCAGCTCTCCCTCTTCCCATCAGAGCTACCAGCCATGGAACTTTGGAGGAGCTGTCCAACCTCGCTGTGCCTCAGTTTTCTACCTGTGAAATGGGAAAGTAATCTCACCTTGTGGCTTGACCATTAAGATTGGGGAGCTGTTCTCTGTGAAGTCCCCAGGCAATGAGGCAGTGGCAGCGTCTTCATAAATGGGATTGTTTACGAAGGGAGATCCTCCTGCCCACTGAGAGGCAGGCAGTGGGTGTTCCTCAATCGAGCTCCGACTGAGGATGGAGGAGGGCGCCCTGACTCCCCGCCACCTGCTGTCGCCCCCCAGCCCCCAGGCGGTCCTCCCCACCCAGTGCGGACCAGACTCCTTCCCATCACGTGGCACGCATTAAGGAAGCTCTTGCGAGAGCTCCCACTAGCAGATGAATCATAATCATCAATGAATCAATCCCAGGGCCTATATGCTGCTCCCAGGCTGCAGCCCGGCTGCCTTTTATAGTCACACTATCAACTCCTGCAGGGGCCTATATGCTGCTCCCGGCTGCCTTTTATAGTCACACTATCAACTCCTGCACATGGGCAGCCTACAGGGCCTCCGCAACGGCCATCCTCACTCCCAGGAAGGGGACTTCACCGAGGACAGTCCCGAGGGTGATTCAGCAAGGCCGCGCTCGTCCGTCTGTCCATCTGTCCCAGGACAGGTGGGCGGACCCCTGCAGGCACTGGCTCCGGGGGCTCTGGCCTGCACAGCAGCCTGTCTTGTCCCAACATCTGCTCAAAGGTTCCTGAGCCCCGGCCTCCAGCCCTCGGCCTGGAAGCTTCGGAGAGATTTCCATTTGCGCGGCCCCGGTGGAGGAGGGCGCCCCGCAGCCTCCGGCCCGAGGCGAGGAACAGACGGACCCGAGCTCTGTGGGTCTTTCTGTGGAACTCCTCTACATTTATTCAGTATTTAAACAGACAGAAACAACAGCATGCATGTTGCTTTTCGCCTTCATACGAGACTAAGGACCGGCTTCTCTGCGGAGTGTGCCGCCCGTCTTCCTCTCCTTCAGTACATCGGGCAGACTTCCCGGTGTTATCCAGTTTTGCACAGTCACTAGCGTGTCGCATCATGAATTATTAAATCAGTACTTCGTGGTAATACATAATTTCTTATCAATTATTCATGCTAATGTGTGTGTAGTTTACTTAATTGTGTTATTGACGATCAAAAGTAATTTCCTGAAAGTCCTCAAGGACACAAAATTTAATCAGCGTAACTACTTTTCAGATGCAATGCTGTTAAGTATTCTTAATTTGCTCAACAGTTCACTTATTTATGTACCTTTCTGGAGGAAATACGAGTTTAATCAAACAATTAGATTGAAGAGTTAGTGTACATAAGGGCTTGAGCTTGCATCGTTCAACCCAACATTCGTAATTACAGCGAAACGGAAGCGCCTTTGCCGCTCTTTGGCAAATCGTTTCATCTTGGTACTCAACAAGCAAAATACAGCAGGAAAAGGGTTTGTGTGTTTTTAAGGAGACAGTGTATTTTATCAAATGCTTTGCAGGAATCAGAGACGAGGCACAACACACTCAGGAATATTGTTTGAGGGCTTGGAGGGGAGGGGAAGAAGGGGGCAGGGTGATCTGAAGGTGGAGCCTTTTGATTATGGAAACTGAAAGGAAAATAATCGTGTAAAGGCGGAAGGGTTTGCCTGGAAACACCCCGTAAGCCATGGGAGACCGCCTCCCCCGGGACCAGGCGCCTGCCCGGGAAGGCAGGTCCCGCGCTATTGCACATTTCCCTTTGATCTCTTCGAGTCCACGACCCACACAGAGAAGGTGAGGAAACAGACCCCAGCCTAGACCAACACTGAGTCTCTGCGGTTTGGCCCTTTGGAATGAGCTCCCGTCACCCGAGGAAGCCCTCGTCCATGCTCCATTCTGCGCGTACACCGCTCTCATCTTGTCTCCTGCTATTTTTCCTTCAGTTAAAAAGACCAAACAACCACCGGAGAGCTCCCTCTGCACCGGGGACCTGCGGACAGGTAGTCAGTCCGGATGCGACCTGTGTCAGAGGCATCCTGGGGCCCCTCCCCTCCGAGGGCGCACAGCTTCCTGGACCAGAGCGCTGCTGTCCACTGACCGAGAGGCCAGTCCGGAGAGGCAGGGCCTGCAGCGGGCGGCCTCGCCGCTCCACGCCGGCAGTGTCAGGGTGCGGCCCCAATACCCAGAGCCGGCAGCCTGTGTGGCCACAAGAGCCAGTGAGAACTGCTGGGGCAGAGCCACCGTGTACCCCTGAGAGAGGCTGCGCCCCATCAGCCTCTCCCCACCCCACATCCTCTCACCTTCTAACTATCCAAGCCCACAGCCAATAGACTTCACCAAGAGAAAGGGGGGCATGGCTGCTGGACTTGGGAGAGGGAATAAGAGTTGGTTGGAATTACAGCAGTTTCCTGGTTCTTAATGGACCAAGGACAGTCCCATTTCATAGCCCTGGGCGTCTCATGTCACAGCTCTTTGAGTTGACCAGACCATCAATGGCAGCCCAGGAAATGGACAGGAAGGGGATGGGGGCAGCAACTCTACTTTCCCCCAAGACTTCTGGGCACAGAAGGAAACCCGACAGGTCCCACCACAGAGTCGGCTCCGGTGCCACCAGTGCCATCAGGACCTGTCACCAAAGAAGCCAGGACAACACGGGCCGGCTGGCAGGACGCCAGAGGCACTCCCCAGACAGCAAGGGAGCTGTGGTCTCATCCCTTCCAGAGTCCAGGAGGAGGCTCTGGGCGCAGGCTTCTCCTTGTTCTTTTGCGTTTTCCATGGGGCTGAGGCTGGGAGAAACAGGGATGGGGAGGGTGCCGGCGTGGCACCCCCTCATACACTCTTCTCACCCTCGCTCTGTTCCTTGGCAGAAGGGGTCTTGTCCTGGCTGCCATCGGGGGGCGCTGGCTTGCCCGCAGGGCCGGGGCTGCTGCTGGTGGCTGGCAGGAGGTTGGCTGACTGCAGGACGGCTTCCGAGTGCTCACGGGCCTTCATGCGCAGGGCGGCCACACTGGCCGTGCGGTTACTCTGGCAGCCGTAGGGCGGGAGGAAGGAGAGCCCCATGGGGTCTGGGACACAGCAAGAGCACAGCGGGCCCCCTGGAAGGAGGAAGCACAAGAGCTGCCGTCACTGTCCGTATTGTCTCCCAGGACCTGCGATGGGAGCAAAGGGCTGATTCATACTGTGGTTCTGGACACTCAAGGGCAAGGTCACAAATGCTCCGGCCCTGGAAGCTGCACAACTCAAGAGATCCAGCGGGTAGGCCAAGGGATTGTCAGAACGTCAGAGACCTGGCCAGTCCCGGCGCCCTCACCAATCACCCGTGTGCCTGAGGCCGGTATCTTGGCTTCTCTGAGCCTTAACTTCTACTTCTGTAAATGGAAGGATACCTACCTCACAGGGTCATCATAGGGCCTAATGATATGAGTCCACAATCCCCAAACTGTGTGCAAAACACCCTAAGAACTCCAGGGGCCTGCGGTGAGACTTTAAGTGTGGAAGTCAGGGAAACCCAGCCACGTCTGCCGGATGCCACACAGGCTCCGCCAAGAGGCGCCTTAGCCCGAGCACGCCAACTCCTCTCAAGGACATCACATTTTCGTGAAGCTGAAGGTGGCTCTGTTTTGCAAACACCACGCAAAAACCCATGTGCAACATAAGAGGGGGTGTGGCCTCCAGTATGACTCCAAGGTCACAGAAGCCACAGAGCCCGCTGGGCTCACACCCCATCGGAAATCAGGGTAGCTGTTTACAAATGAAAATATATATATATTACTTTTCTCTTAATTTATAAGAACTACTCACCCAGTGGCTACTAAGTTGTTGGGACATAAATACTGAGTTGGGCCTAACCAGTTATGAGCAGAACCATTGGGCATTTCTTCTGCCCAAGAACATTCTGAGAGTGTGAGACGCTCAGGGCGCTGTGGACTGAGGCTGAGGACCTTGGAAGGAACCAGTTTGTCCAGCACTTAGCACAGGCCCCTGTGTGGATAGGGTTTCAGAGCCATTGCCCGGCCCAACCTGCCCACCGGCCCTACCCCACCTGCCCACCGGCCTTGCCCAGCCCTCTGCACACTCCTTGGGAGGAGCCCCTCTCCATTGGTCATCCCCGGCCTTGCCTTTATTCAGTGACTGCCCACAGGCACCTGGCACACCTCTGGTGGGGAGGGACATGCAGAGGCCGCGTCTCTGATGCCCAGGAGGGTGGTGAGTGCTATGGCTACGTGAACGGAACACAGTGCTTGGCAGAGACCTGAGTGCGCAAGAAGGAGAGATAGTGTGTGCATGTGCAGAGCCTGACAGCTAGTAGGGAGAGCAGGACAGCCGCCAGGCGGGGGACAGAAGTCTCAGGGTGCTTGGAGTGACTAAAGTCAGAGGCTGCAGCTGAGGGGGGTGGCAGATGGGTGCCTGGGTGGTTTGATGAGAAAGCCTCGACCTTATCTGCACCAGGGGTGGGGGAGGCTGCTGCAGCCCTGCAGTTCCAGCGGGAGGGAGGTGGCGGGAGGGGCCGGATCCAGGATTTTGCCAAAGGTGAGAGTCCGAGCGGGTTGCTCATGGACTGCCAGAAGGGTAATGGAAAGGGAGTCACAGATGACACCTACGTTTGGGCCTGAGCATATGAATGAATGAATGAATGTGCCATTTCCAAGATGGGGACAAACAGAGAGGACGGTG